GCAAAAGGAAATTGTAATATTTATAGTGTCCATGTGAATAAAGACTATTAAAGAAAAACCTCTGCGGTCCTAAAGAACAGATCACAATAAGAAAAGAGGAACTGACCCAGTACTAACTTCACTTGAATATCGTATCTGTGCTATCTCCCTCTACTCAACACGGTATTGGTATTAAATGCCCAGCATGTCAGGTATGATGGTACCTATACCTATACTCTCAACCATCTGGGAGGTTGAGGCAGGAAAATCATAGCTTTAAGGCTACCTTGCAACATAGTAAGTTTTTGGGGCTGGGGATTTAGCTCAGCGGCAAAAGCGCCTGCCTGGCAAGCTCAAGGTCGTGAGTTCGGTTCCCGGTACTGGAGAAAACACCAAAAAAAAAAAAAAAAAAAGTAAGTTTTTATCTCAAAAAAAAAAAAAAAAAAAAAGGTTGGGGATGTAGCACAATGGCAGAGCATCAGTGGGTTCAATACCTAGTACCCAAAAAGAAAAAAAGAAAAAAAATTTACCCACTGCCACACTGTTTTTTACCATGGCTTGATGAAGGAGAAATTGAGGGTCTCTGGAAATATCCCCCTTGATAGGAGTGTGGTCTGGAGATAGTTTGTAGTCCAGGTGGCCAACATCGCTAAGCCAGTTGGGCCCTTGAGGAATTTTATATAACTCTGGAAACCCCTTGCTTCTATTACTTTTGGGATGTTGTCCCTCCCCTTACTGGCTTTGCACCTTAATCTCAGAAGGTAATGAATTTCTACACTGGTGTGGGCCGTGGTGAGAACTGAGGCTCTGGCTGTATTCCAGCACCCTCCCCACCTCACACACACAGGAATGTGGTAATATAAGCAATCTAATTACCATCCATAAAACCTGGACTGTTAATTATAGACCCATCTTCAATACTACATCTTCTCACCCCATCAACCCTTACCATGGATGCTCCAGGACTATTACCTTTTGATTATCACATTCTGTTAAGCCCGGCTATTACATTTTGATTAAACTAGCATGTTCACTGCTCTGTGGCAAAGCTGAGAACATCAGCTGGGAATGGCCTCCAGACAGAGACCCATCCGCTGCCCTCCTTGGGCTTAAGTGTCCTCCTCATTTTTATAGCACCTTGTGACCCCGTTTGCACAGTAATTAAGATAGAACACTGGAATGCTCTGTTCACATATTTCCCATTCCTGTCTAAGTGTTCAGCCCCACAGTGTGGTTAAAGAGCCTGTGGCAGCGGATGAAAGGGAAGGGGGACGTAGGGCCCCAAAAGAGGGAGCTCAGTGGTTTGTGTTGATGCATGAGTAACGGATACAGAGAAATAAAAGTGCATCTTGGTGTCTGTAGCTATAGCTGAGCAGAAAAAAATAACACCTGACACACAGAGGGTTGCAGGTGGGGACAGAGAAGCAGAGATCACGTCTGACTGCTAGCGTCAGATCTGGTTTATCCGATTTTATTGCATGAATGATGCAAAAACCTTTAACACACTTTTTTCTATCTTGCAGATGCTCAACAAAACCAAAATGGAAACTGATCTGAAGTTCTTAGATAAAGCACACTGCAAATAACAGCGTGGAATATTTACCTACGTCCGTTAGGACGTAAACTATTACCTATCTATCATAAACTCTTGGGCTTCTTTCATAGAGTAAGTGTTGACAATTTTTTAAAAAATAATGCATTATTTCAAAACCCAGAAGTACTTATATTTTAGTGAAGTTGGGAGAAATTTAAGTTATAGAGTCAAGTAAAGTCAAGGAAATCAAATAAAATTACTATCTCTTTCCTCAGTACTAAGGATTTAATTTTCTCTGCAATCGGTTCATAATATGCATGTTTGAAATAGCATTTTCTCTTCTATTTCTTAGCACTACAACGTAATACATTAAACATATTATTGTGGCTGAATAAATATAAATGAATGTCTTATTTTAGTTTATTCAACACCTGAAGTACTTTGTAATACAAGGAATGTATATTGGTAGGACTCAAATTGCTGCCTAACACACTTTTTAATAAATATTTCTTTATTTTAAACAAAATTTAAATTAAATATTTAAGTGGTCAAGAAAAGTTAGTTAAATGGTACCATTAATTAAAAAAGCTTTCTGAAGACCAGCTGCAGGTCTTCTACTTAAAATTCTGATGCACAAATGCTAAAATTCTTTCCAAAAGAGAGTTTTTCCTCTTATTTTTCATCAGTCCTCTGAGTTCACTGGTAAATTAGTAATGGTTATTTCTTCACAACTTGGTTGGGAAAAACCCTCTGGGTTTTTCTCCATAGCTGGGTATGTCCAGAGGCACATTTTAAAAGTGTAAAAGCTGCATGGGAGAGCAACCAGAAGCCTCAAATGTTTCCTGCCACAGATTAAATCTCACAAGATTGTGGTACACGCAGAACACACTGGAGAATTAAAGCTCTCTGGAGGGGCAATTACCTCAGCTCTTCCCCATGCTATGAGGGTGTCAGAGATGATCAATAATTCAGCGGCATTCACCAATAGCCACCAAATCCCCAGATACAGCAAAAGAAATGGATGCACAATGATGTGACATTTCCAGAAATGGTGCAGTTAGTACCATCATGATGAACTGTACTACTTCTCTCTCCACACGTCTCTGCCCCTCCCTTCTCTATTTTGAGAGCGGGGCCTGCGTGTCTTTATGCACTAGTCCTCTGGAACATGCTCCAACTTGACAAGTGCTTAGCAAAAGTTTCTTTAAACAAATTGAGCAGAAGTTGAAGAGCACATTTTAGAATTTTGATTGACTTTTGCTTTTCCATCCTATCAATGTCTCCCTTCACACAGCCTGTGATTAATACTGAAACCCTAACTGTTTTGGCCTGCAGCATTTCAACAACCCAATAATAGGAATTCAGCACTCTGTCATAAGGGGAAAGTATTTAACCTTTCCCATCTGGGCCAAAACATCGCAGTGCTCAGGGAAGGGGAAGCATCTTCCACAAAACCTTTACTTCAGGGTACATTTCTGTTCCTGCCACAGCAAGTGATGTCATTTGTGTGCAACAACACGACGTGCCAGAAAGGAGTTTTCTGGGCCTTATTTCAAAAAACATTGTACCCAACGTTACCATAGTCTCATTGTTCCTAAAATATTCCATTTACCCATATCATGCACAAGCTCAAAAATTTTTAAATATGTTCCTCTATAAAGAAGTTCAAGAAGAGAATTTTTTAAAAATATGAATGCACTTAAAATCTCATATTCATAAGAAACCACAGGAAATCCCCTAAAGAGAAAAAACAAATTGCACATTGAGAAAGATGAATGCATCCGTAAGACAAAAGAAAAAACCACCAACCAGAATTGACTACTCCGTGTTCTCCTCTCTCTCTCCTTCCCATCAGCTATGACATTACATCAGTCCTCCATGTTCCCATGAAACGAAAATATTACCCTCTCTCTATCGCCATGTCCGTTCTAGTCCCTGTCCCTCATCATTCCTATCCTAATGCTGCCAAGAGTTATAATTTTACAACGTGCAGGGGCTGGGGATTTAGCTCAGCGGCAAAAGCGCCTGCCTGACAAGCGCAAGGTCGTGAGTTCGGTTCCCGGTACCGGAGAAAAACAAACAAAAAAAATATTTTACAACGTGCAAATCTAATCCACACGTAACATGGGTGAGAGCAATGATCCCTTGAGATTCTGGATGACAGAATGTGATCTGGCCCACATGTGACAATTTTTACCTTCATCTCCTGCCATTCCTCACCTCAGGCCCAGCCTTCTGAACGAGTTGGGGTGCATTCACATGCTCATGCTTTTGTGGACATCATTCTGATTGGTGTGTTCTCCCACTTCTCTCCCCTTTTGGCTTCCTATTCATCCTTCATGAAATAGCTGTCATGGGTTCCCACTCCTTTGCTCACCAGCATAGATGGCACAGATGTTATTCCCTGCGCTCTCCAAGAAGGACACACGGGCTGTCATCACACCCTAGGTAGCTGACAGCGACTTCACGCTACCATACCATGAGTAAATGGGTGTGTTGGTTTGGAGGACATTTTGCAAGAAAAACAATACAGGACACATATTTTATAAGATTATTTCTAACAGTCACTCCAAGAATGATGTACAAAAGAGTGGAGGAAATCTGTCCACACATTATAGCCCAAGAATGCAGCTGAGGGCCTGGATCCCGTGATAATGTCCTGCATGAGTCCACTTTAAGACCTAGAGCTCATAACAATGCCGCCCACAAGTCCACCTAGAGGTTCAAAGCCCATTACAATATCTCATGCAGGGATGTTGCACAGATCTGCTGCGAAGGCGCAAAGGTCAGTGGTGGAATCTAGGAAGTCTGTGCCAGTGGGATGAAGGATCTGTGCTAGCAGGCTGAGGGATCTGCACGGGAGCCAGGAAGCGACGCTCAGAAGAACCAGAGCTGCCCTGGAAGATACCATAGCCATCCTCAGCAACAGTGAGGTCCCGAGCTCCTCTGATGATCAAAATGGCCCAGTTCTCCTCAGGGAAGCCAACGCAGCAAGCTTCTCCCAGAGACTGGCAGTGCACCATCTTCCCCTCCAAAGCCAGGAAGCGATGCTCAGAGTGAGGACCAGAGAGCTCCCCCAAAGTGAACCAAAGCCATTCTTAGTGCCAACAAAGTCCTAAGCTCTTCGGACGATGAAAACAGCCCAGTTCATCAGGAAAGCCAGCATGACGAGCTCCTCCAAAACAACCAACAGCTCCTTACAGCTTCCACCAGCTCCAACAGCCTTTCTCTGCTCCCAACAGCCTTTTTAGTTCCCGAAACCCTTATTCTTCATCTCTAGGTCTGCCTCTTATGCTGCTGGAAACAGTCCCCAGGTGGGGGTGTTCAAGGCCAACCTGCACTACTCAGCAAGACACTGTCTCAAAAAAACGAAAAATATAAATAACGAACTAACTATTGGTTTATTCATGAGTCATTTCCTCTCCATTTACTTATGATACCTTAGCCCCAAATTCTTTGCAAATTTTCTAAATCTCTTCCCAGGGCATGTAACTCACCAGGCCTCCTAACGTGCTCATCTTCCCATGACGTCGCTCCCTGCCTGCCACGCTGAATGGCTGCCTTTGAACCGGTAGCCTCAAAGGCATGGAGTGGCCTTGGGAGGGAGAGTTCTGAGCTTCTACTTCCTGCAGCTCTTTGATCCCCCTGCCTCAGCTTCCCAAGTGTTAGGATTATAGGGATGTGCCTCCACATCCGGCAACCACTGTTACTAAAACCAAGAGAGTTTAGCCAGAAAAATCAATCATGGTCACAACATGACTAAACTCTGAAGCTCAATGAAGTGTACATCTCATAACATAAATGTGGACTGTCTGAGGTGTGGGACAGAGTGGGTTGGGACAGGGTGTAGTCGGGGCAGGGAGGAAACAAAGCTAAATTCTTATCTTTTGGGGCTGGAGGTAGATAAACAATGCCCCAAACCAAGAGGTCAAGGAGCAGTAACACAAGGCTGTGATTCTCTGCAAAACCCTCTTCCAGGGAAGGAGAGAGAAATTTGAGGACTGCGGTTTTTCTTAACAAACCTTGCAAAATTAGATCTCCCACACCCAATACCACGCTTACTCAGTTCAGCTGGGGGTTATAAGTTGACCACCAGTTGTCAATCCACTGCAGTGGGCTTGCCAGCCTTGCTCAGCACGAACACGTGCTTCCTCTGGTTGCGCCAGTCCTCGTCACTGGGGTCCCCGGCCTGGCCCCCAGAGCCACTCTCTGGACCATGAATGGGACTACTGTCTGAGGCTGCAGAACTCCAGTGTTCACGGGTGCTTGAGGGGACCTCTGCCTGGGGCAGCGGTGACAGGCGGCTGGGAGGCTCATCCTTGGCTTCAGATCCTACAAGGGAGCCCTTGGTGCATTACCGGTCTGTAGACCCCACTAACCACATGAGGCTCCCAAGGACCCACCAAGCCCTTACCCGCCTCCCTGCAACCTCTGTGTGCTGACGAAGACCTCTGAGTGTCTCCCTTGCTGCTAAGTGACCAGTGACTCCCAGGACTGGGGCCTCTCCAATGATGTCCCTAAAACCCACGATCCTCCAAAACCCAAATAACCCAATTTGATTTTATTCCAATCAGTAGATTCTCTACATCCCTGTGTCACTTATTCCCTTTCAGCTGCCATTTCCAAGTCTTCAAAGCATCACTGTCTCTCAGTGACCATTAATAGCATCGTCAGTGACCCATTAACTCCTCTGCTCCATTATTTATTATCCTGGTATCTACTCTCCTCTCGTGGCCACCATTAACACCCACTGATATCTGATCTCCCCACCCTCTAACTCCCCACCCTTTCATTCTCATGGGTGCCTACTGATCTCTGACTCCTTCGGACTCTCTCAGTGAACTATTTATACTTTGAATGACACCCTCTAACTCCCCACCCTTTCATTCTCATGGGTGCCTACTGATCTCTGACTCCTTCGGACTCTCTCAGTGAACTATTTATACTTCGAATGATGTTCATTAGTTTATTAATTCTCCCAATGACTATCATTAATATCCACTAACAAGCTAATGGAGGCAGGAGGATTGCAAGTTTGAGTCCAGGCTTGGCAACTTAGTAAAACCCTGTCTCAAAATAAAAAAACAGCTGGGTGTGGTAGTGCACACCGGTAATCCCAGCACTCGGGAGGCTGAGGCAGGAAGATCTTTGCGCATTCAAGACCAGGCTGGGTTACAAAGTGAGCTCAAGGGCAGCATGAACTGCATACCGAGAATGTGTCTCAAAAAAAAATAAAAACAAAAAAAAACATACACACGCACACAAAAAGAGGGAGGAAGCTGAGGTTTTAGGTTCAGTGTCCCATATTGAAGGAAAAAAGCCCATAACACCCAGGTGTTCAGGACTCTTCTGACCCCTTATTCACTTCCTCTATTTACTTCCACTAAGACATTAACACCTTCCCAAGGACACCTCATTAACATCACTAAACCACTAATACGCGTGTCTTCAAGGGCTCTCAATGACTGCCCCCACCAACAAATTATTTTACTCTAAGACTGATCTTCAATAATGTAAATTCTGGGTGCCCACCAATCCTCACTGACCCCCTTTTCTATCACAATGACTTTACACCCAATTCCCACATCCACTTCTTTCACGCCAATGGCCACCATAAATCTCCCTTAATAAGGACTTGTCATGATCCACACTGAGGTTCTCTATAACCATTATTAACACTCACTAAAACCCACAACTTTAGTGACTCCTCGTGCATGCTGACACACCCACTTATTCCCACTGCTGTCCACTGACTCACCCAAGGACAACCATTAACCATTTACAGCTCTGTCTCTAATTTTCCCATAAAATCTCAATGACTTCATTTTCTTTCAATGGCATTCAATGACACCGCCATATCTCCAAATACCAACTACCCCTCCTAATAACTGCCAGTACCTGCCAGTGATTCCAAAGTCCTAAAAGATCCCACCCATTTACTCTCAGTGATGTTTGCTGACATTGCCCAGTGACCCCATTAAGATCCACGAATTCTAGAATAACTAATAAGCAGTGTTTCCCAATGACTTCCACTGATTCCCCAGTAACACCTTTACACATCCACTATCTGGTGTTACATGCCACTCCCCAACAAAACGATCACTTCTCTCCAAATCTCACCGATCCTCTTCCCTCACTGATCACCATTAACACACACTGGCATTTGATTCCTTCACGACCCTAACAACCCTCTACTCATTCTTCAATAATGTAGGCACTGAGCGCTCAGTAGTCCCCACTGATCTCTTTTCCCATCGCAATGATTTTACACCCCAGTGTCCCCAAAAAATAACTTCTAAATAGCTCCTCCTTTGACTTTACTCGTGTTCATTAACTTAAATACTCCAAACCCCCCAGGGCCCTCTCTAACCCCAACTGGGCCCTTTCTGATCGTCAGTCACCTGAACTCACACCGAATACATTCTGGTTTGCTCAGAAATGACAGGTTTCTGAGGATAAGTGTTCATCCACTGCTAGAATGGATATATGCCTGGAAAAACGGGGATGGTTCCTCTTCCTACCCTTGATCCTTCATAACATCCATCTGCCCAGTACCACGAACTGCCCTTGGTGAACACCAGCTGATACCTACTGACTTCATCTGTCAATGATTTAAACTATACCAGCGAGTCTACCATTTCCTCCTGCTCACTTAGCTGTGCTTCAAGCTACTTCCCCGAGTCCCCAAACTCCTCACCGATCTTCCATTAATCCTCCTTCTCCCTCGCCCAGCGCAACCTCCCTCACGCCCGGATTCCCTCCAAGACCCTAGCCAGGGCGGCCTATACCTGTTTCCTCCGGGTCCGCGTCTCCGGGATCCGGCGGGCCCGACCGAACTCCACGATCTCCAGCCTCCTCGCCTGGGAACTGCGTGCCCTCCAAGTCCTGCGTGTCCTCCAAGTCCTGCGCGCCCCCGGGAGCCGGGGCAGCAGCGTCTCCGCCGGCCTCCATCTGCACATCCCTGGGGGGAAGGGGAATCGAGGGTGACAGGCAGCCAAAGAAACTTCTCAGCAGCCTCTACGGCGCCAGGCCCCCTGGACACATGCCCAGGGCTTGTTTCCCCCACGGCTCTCAACGGGATGAAACATCCACAGTCGTGTTCAAATTCTTGCAGCCTCCTGCACTTTCCGCAGAGAGGCTGCAGCGGCCTGAGGAAACAAACACACAGAAACACCTGTTCCCAGCCCTGTATCTCAGCGGGTCCGACTCTCGGAGCCCAGGCAGCACCACACTTCCGGGTGCCGCCGCAGTTCGGCCACACTTCCGGAAACGACGCCTCACAGAAGACACTTCCGGTTACAGAGCTCCATTCGCTCCCCGCGACGCCTCTCCCCCACCGCCTACTGGTGTTCCCCCACCGTTACGATGGCGCGCGCCTCTCCAGGATCTACTTCGGATCAAGTCTGGAACCCAGGACAGGACTTCTGTACTGTCCCAAGGAACCGGCTGCAGCACCGAAGCAGGGCGGGAGCTGTCCACGTCTCTCGCTGTGGTTGCTGGCGTCAGGGGGGTGCGGCCCGTTCAGCCAATCCTGGCGTATAGAGGGCGGGCCTTTCTGCCTCTGGCCCAATCCGGAGGAGTCCGTCGCCTTCCGCCAGCCCAGTCCAAAACGTATCCTAGTTGGCATCGGCCGATGATGTCTCCCTGGACCCACTCAAAGGGGGGGGGTCTCTCTCCTCACATGAGGACTTTTACAGCCTATTATGGATACAGCCAGTCCAATAAGTGGCCCCACAAGTGAGGCAACTTCATTCTCTATCTGCCAAGAAAGGCTGGAATGGGGTAAGACTCGGTGGGCTGGAGAGGATGCTTGACGAACAGTGTTTGTGTCCAATCGGAGTGCGGCGCGCAATCGGCTCAGCCTATAGGACTCGGTTCCTAAAGTAAGAGGCGGGCCTCGGAATTGGGAGTTATTCGTGGGTCTCCGTGATCATCAGCCAAAGGGCTCGACGGCCCTGGAGCAACGGAAGCTCGGGCCCCGGACATCCTTGGGGCACCCGAGAATGGCGCTGGGAAAACAAAGGTGAAGGATGGACAGTGTTTGTCCAGACGAGCGAAAGTCCTCCCTGACGGCCCTTGCTTCCATGGGATCTGTGGGCGGAACCACGCAGATTACGCTTCTAGGCCTAAAGGGGAGGGGTGCGCTGGTGGGCGCGGCTTTGAGGGCCTTCTACGTCTTCGTTGGTTGACGACGGCGCCGCACCGCCCCCTGCGCAGCACTATTGGCTAACTGGCCAAGGGGCGGGGTCGACAGCCCGCCGGCTGGGACCAATGCTCTGGACAGTCTCTATTGGCTTCCAAGGATAGAGGAACGCAGATGCCGAATCTGATCCTCCCGTCCCGGGAAGCGTGCAGAGCCGCGCAGTACACGGAAGGCTGCGAGCGACCTGGGCAGCCCGCGGAAGGTGCTCCCGGCTGACAGTTTGAGAATGAAGTCGCGCGCTGGTGCGGACGCACCTGTTCTGGTCTCTGCATCCTTCTCTGGGGCCCCCAAGTCTCTCAGGCTGCCTCTGGGTAGCCCTTTAGATCTGTGTCTCTGCATCTGTTTGACGCTGTCCACGCGGCCCGCGCTTAGTCCTCTGGCCTCCTCTTGGCCCGCTGAGTGACACCCCAGCCCCAGCCCCACTAGGTGACGCCCCAGAGGGCCTGACCTCACGGAGCCCAGCGTGTCACCTGGGGCAGAATTCTGGGGAGGGGAGCGGCTGGGGCAGCGGGGGAGGGGGCTGCAGGCATCACCTGGTGTTGGACCGGCCAGACCCTCCTGGGCTGGGCGAACGGGAGGTCACCCCCCAGGATAAGTTCGGGGTTGTGTAAGAGGCTTCCCGGACCCTGCAGCATCCCGAGTGCCTCAGGCCGTGGCTTCCCCCGTGTGAAACACTGACCACATGTTATAGACCTGTGGTCTGAGGATTGCTTGAGTTCAGGTGAGTAAAGGTGATAGGCCGACTTTGAGCCATTGCTAAGTGGAAGGCTTTGGTGCTATTTATAATTATTTTAATCATAATTAAGGCAGTGAATACCAATTACTGATGTCGCACCTTATGCCTTATTATATACACTAGACAACTTAAGTAATAAGTAGTTACTATAACATAAAAGCAATATAAAAATTTATGTATAATGCAATATATTTATCTAATAATTATAAAACAGTATATAATACACATGAAAAGAACCACAAAATAACTTGTAAGAAAATGTGTGTAATACAGAAAAATTTGCAAATGCAAACAGTAAATAAAGCAATTTTATAAGAAATATATATAGCTGACAATATGCTGTTAGTGTTCTTTATAAAGTAAAATTGATAAAACATGATGAATTTTAAGTAATTATATACTTTAAACATTTTCTAATTTATATAGCTAAAATGAACACGAATGTAGACTCCAAAATAAAATAACACTTTGTACACAGCCCTTAGGTCTGTGAACTTGTGTTAGATAGGTGAAGAGAATGCCCTGTAAGACCAGGTAAAACATTTCTTGTGCCCAGTGTTCACCGGGTGTCTCAGACACGTCACTAGCCTGGCTAGAGGCGGACAGGCCTCTCTGAGCCTGGCTTTAATCAGCAGTGTAGTAGGAACATTAAAAGCGGTACCGATCTTACTTGGAGGTTCCTTGAGGACTAAATAACCCAACTGTACACCGAAAATAGCACCTGGTGTATGGTAGGCCATGAAAATGTTACATTATTAAATGTCATTTGATCTTATGACTGGTATGTGATAATTCATATACATTATAACTTACTATATATATTTGTTACACTAAATTATACATAATACAGATAACTAAAATTATATTTCCACAACACTGGCTGAGGCACACAGCAGTGTCCTGGTCAGCCAGATGGACCTTCAGGAAGCCAGATGGGCGATCCATCAAATAGATGCACCGACCTCTGAACATACAGAGGCCCAGGCAGACCCAGCTCCTAGCCCACCAGACAGCATCACAGCGGCAGGTAAGAGAGCCCCTCCCTCAGGGAGCAAGATGTCCGGTGAAGAGTGCTCTCAGTATCATGAGACGAAGGAGAGGATCCAGATGCTAACCCATAAGTCCCTGACAAGCGTCACATTGGAGAGAATTCAAGCCAATGACCAAATGCTTCCTTCTATGATTGGCATGGCTCTATGTTGTAAATTTTAGGTTATATATTTGAATGTTCAGTTGCATTGTTTACCTTTATTTAATACTGATCCTCTATCTCAACCAAACTTTACCTCAAGTAGGCTCAATTTTAAAACAACTTTTGCTAACTTGCTTTGTGAAAGGAATTGATTTTTTTTTCAGGGAAAATAGCAGTGCTAAGACCAATGTAATCTCTTATATGAAACTCTTCGCACCAAATGTGTTCTGAATTCACACTTTCTCCAGTCTTAGGGGCGTGTGTCGTATATTATAAAGTGCCTCAGCAGGGGCTGGGCAGTGCATGTAATTAAACTCATTATCTCCTGGTAGGAGTGATAAAAATGGAGCCACCTCATCTGAGCACAGTTCACATTTTGCTACCACTGATTTTAAAAAGATTTTCATCCCTGAATTTTGTGACAATACTGAATGGTAAAAATATCCTCACTGGAGTCCCATGAGTGGTGAACTGTTAGAACAGGAAATATATTTAAAGAAACAATGGCCCCACATTTTCAAACTGATGGACATTATAGGCACAGGTTGAGGTCCTCAACAAAATCCATGCAGGACACAAAACAAAACCTCATTAGAGAATATTACAGATAAATTGCTGCAAACAAGAGGAAATGGCAAAATATTGTAAAAACAAAAAATGTGCCTTATATATATAAGAACAAAGATGAGAATTAAAGCAGATTTATGAAATAGACTATTCCAATCAGAGAACCATGGGAAAATTAATTTTTTTACAAAGAAAATAAAAAATGTGTTAAACTTACATTTTATACTTTGTAAGATAATCTTTCAAAATGAAGGCAACATAAAAATTTTGAAGAAAAGACACATGATTTTTCTCACTAGCGGGCCTGTACACCAAGAAAAGTTAAAGACAGTTCTTGAATAATGGAAGTAAAATAAACATATTTGGAAAATTATTGTACATAAATGAATGAAGTGTAGCAGAAGTGGTTAATATCTGGATAAGCATTAAAAAGTGTTGACTTTCTAAAAATATGACTATCTAAATGCAAAACCATGTGTCATGTGGTTTATAGTGCTTGTGGAAATGATATGAATGACTGCAACAGAAAGGATGGAAGTCATAAATGATAGTACACTGTTGTAATGTGCTTATATATTGTGATATTATTTGAAGTTACACTGTAATAAGCACTTGTTAACCATAAGAAAATGAAAAGGATACACCTCAGAATACAAAAAGTAATAAGCTGAGAGTTGAGAAAATGTGGAATAGTAAATACAAGCAATCCAAAAGAAGGATGAAAAAGAATAACAAAAGAATAAATAAAAGTGGGACAAACAGAGGACAAATGGTAAGGTGGTAAACATTACTTATGTATTTGTAACTGAATTAAGTAGAAGTCAACAGTTCAATTATACAGATTTTTCAACAGTAAATAACAGCAAGGCCCAACTACATGCTTACTAAAGGAAACTCAATATAAGAATACTGCCTACAAAAAATGCAAATAAGACCTCCTAAAATACAAAAAAGCATACAGTTTAAAAGTACACTGGCCAAAAATCTTAAATCACATGATAACATGAAATCAGATCACATGATAACATGAAATCAGACAGATCAGCAAGTAGAGGTCAAGATAGGGAATATTAAAGTGAGGTATGTCACAGTGATGGAAAGTTTAAGACCACATTTTCATTTAGAAGACATAATAATTAAGACATAATAAATAAATCTGTATCCAAATACAAAACTTTTCATTTAGAAGACATAATAATTCTAAATAAATCTGTATCCAAATACAAAACTTCAAAGTACGTGAGTCTCAACCTGACAGTATTGGAAGGAGAAACAGACAAATCCATGACAGTTGGAGATCACCCCCCTACTGTAATTGATAAAATGGGAAGGACAGAGAAAAGCTAAGTACAGAAAATGTAAACAGGTATTGGCAGAAGTGGTTTAACTGATATTTATAAGCACATTCCACCCGGGCATGGCACAATAGACATTCTTTCTCAGTACCTAGGCACATTTACAAGGTAGACC